GGGGAGTTGTGATATTAACATCACAAAAAGTACAGTTTGAGTACATTTCTGAGGCCTATTAAGAAGGGAGGCATATAGTAATCTCAGGGAAGATCAACAGTGTAGTGATAAGCATTTGTAATGTCTGCTCCTCTTCTTATATATAGAGCCATTTGCACAATGGTTAAGACAGAGAGAAAGTATTAAAGGTATTCATATAAGTGGAGAAGACCACAAAGTGGCCCTATATGCAGATGATGTCTTGGTGTATTTATATCTGAGCCTAATAAAACATTCTAATGGTTCTCGATAATGTGCCAGGATTTATTTGCTTTGGAGTTGATGATGACTGAACTTTACCACGGGACACTGATGTGAAATTTACCTTTGAGCTGCTTTCCGAGGCACTGTGTTTGGCTGAAGTGGAAGACTTCTTTAAGATGGAGGCAGAAGATGTGTTTGCATCATCTTTATAGAAACTTCTTTGGGGCTTTAACTCCTTTTTTTCATGCTTTTGACACATCTCTATAGCGGAGGTGGAGGAGGTAGGTTTGCTGGTCTTGATATACCTGCTGTGATTTCCAGTCCTCGGTGGGTCCTCAGTTCTGCAGTTCCTCTTCTGCACATCCTGCCTTGGTTCTTTCACTTCAGCAGAAACTAAACTGGGACCCACTGGAGGCTTGTTTAATTTGGACTGGCTCCTCTGGGAAGACCTTTCATCGAACCCACCTTTAGACTTCGTTTCTGTTCTCTGAGGGACTGCACCTGCTCGGAGTTTTGAGTATCCTCTTTCCACAATGTCGCTTCCAGTGACAGTTTTATCTTTCCCTGAAACATAATTCTTTGCTTTACTGGAGCAATGATCCCGATGGAATGCCACAAAGTCTGGTTTGGATTTTGCATATTGTCTGTCCTTATTAACGGGTTTCTGCTCTGTTGCTTGTGTTTTTGCCAATCTGTAGACAGGTTTTTTGATCTGCCGGGTGCTTTGGGAGTCATCTTTAACAGAAGAAGAAACGGATTTTTCCTTGTCCTTTTTACAGCTAGATTTTGAAGAATAAAAAGAAACGATGCTGTAAGAACATTTTTTTTAAATCATATAAAAACACGATTAATTTCCAGTTAAAAAATGCAGAAATAAATAAATGGTTATGTAAATTCCATCAAACCTTTTCTGACTCTTTAAAACTTCTTTCCTCTTGGCGGTTTTGTAACTGTTGCTTGCATATTGTCCTCTGGATATCTGATAACATAAAAAACATGAAACATTTTGTGAAATGCAACAATTAAGGCAGACTACAGCTGAAATAAAAGCAATTTAAAAAACTGCATTTTTTCTTGATATTTTTTACATGAGGGACTTCTTGTTTTTAGGAAAACTTTGTAATATTTCAGTGCCCTGTCACTCCTATTCTGAACGTTTTTGTCATGGTAGTGCTTAGTTATGCTGCACATGTCGAAACCAATTTTGTCTCCAAACTGCTCAACCTGAGCCGTTTCTCTGATATACTCTTCCCAATTCTTATCCCTTCCGATGAAAATCTTAGGAACCTTTAACTTTGGCACCTCCAGCCACGCCTCCTGTCTTGTCCGAATGCCACTGGGAATTGGGATGCAGTTTTTGTTGCCCTAAACCAAACCCAAACACCCACTATCTTCATGCTGCCTCCCCTCACCAGCTGGAAGCTCCAGGGCCAAAGTTGGAACAACAAATTCTCCCAGATTACAAGACGGCTCTGCCCCATCGTCCTACTTCCTCAAGGTCACCTGCATCTGCTTCAGGATTGTTGACTTTTGCTTAAAACTAGGTGAAAGGGCACTCTCTCTTTCTCGAGTTGAATACATGATCCACACACATACACATGTACTCAGACATGTTCTCAAACTGCTCTCCCATCAGGAGCTCAGTCTGGGTGAATTCCATCCTACCTCTCTGTGACCTGTCTTACCAACCTAATGTTTGTGCAACGCATGTACGGTCAGGAGGGGTCCTATTTCACAGCATGTACGTGTAACATTCTTAGTGACAATTAAACGGCTCAATCAAACAATCACTGTATCCAAACCACACGTCACAGCAGTTCTCTCATCATCTTGTAAACCTTCCCTTTCAGTCTTGTTGCTATACTTCTGTCAAAAATCATCCCTGACACTCATCTCCACTCACAAAAGTGAAGCCATTCCTCTGTTTCAGAGACTGAGAGAAAGCCATTCATGCCTTCATTTCATCTCACCTTGACTTTTGTAATAGTCTTTACTCTGGCGTATGTCATCAGAGTTAGATCAAATGCTCTAGCTGTCCCAAGGTCCAGATTAAAGCACAGAGGAGATCGAGCCTTTGCTGTGACTGCTCCTGAACTGTGGAACAAACTGCCCCTCACATCAGGACCTCCCCAACATTGGATACTTTCAAAACGCTTTAAAAACCCACTTTTATTCCTTGGCTTTTAAATCAAAATGAGTTTGGACTACTTTTATTTATCTTATTTCTTACTCAAACTTACTCTCCTAACTTACTCTCTCTGCACTTTCTCTTCACCTCTCTTGTGCGTTATCCCTCAATTTGGATGGTTAACCCAGGCATGTAAACTCATCCAGCTTCACTCTTACATCCCTCTCACTAACACACACGTATTGTGGAAAATATATTTTTATATAACAGGGCTTTTATTAGTGACATATTAACCTAGAAGCTATTGAACGTGCAAAGCTTAGAGCCTTAGAAGAAACGTTCTGCTTGTAACTTGCATATGTGCCTGCTCAGCAAAGGTTAGTACAGTATGTACTCGGGATGTGCCACAGATGAGTATGAAGAGAAACACCTGCAGTGTAAGACAGCTGAGACAGCTCTTTAAGTCTTACAGAAGCTTGTCAATAAAAGAAGTGTATCTAACTGTCACTAACTGCAACTGATGCGTGTTATGATATCTGCTTATGAAGGGGCTAAACCCTGATATACAAAAACATTATGCTGTGTGCTTCCTAGTTGAGATCTATGCAGAGGATGACACTGTATACATCTCCCACGCGTGTGTTCAATAAATCATTGTTGTGACTGGACAGTATTCATGTCATGTAGCAGCAAAGTCAACAACAGTACACAAACGCTGTAACCTTACCCTCTCGTCTTCTTCACTTGAGGACGAAGACGATTTCTTGTGCTTTCTCTTTTTGGCCTTTTTAGGCATTTTCCTGTGAAGGCAATTAAAGAGGAAATAACGTTTTCGGTGAATATAAACACAAAAATCAAGCTTGATTTAAACCAACACGTCACCCTGACATAAAACGAAACTAAACTAAAAGACGCATTTTAATCTCTTAAACGCGTCCTAATACTATAAAATATTGCCGAGATAAGCCGAGTGTTAAACTCGTAACTCACAGCAGTCTAAAGTTAAATGTTACCGTTAGCTCGTTTAATCTCGGACACGAAGAAGAAGCAGCAAACCGCAGCCGTACACGCTACATGTCGTCCTTACTGTCTGAAGAGGTCGCTTTCTTTGTTTCAGGGACATAAAGTAAGTCAAATGTGAGCAAACGTCACATTCCTACACAGCTCGGTTTCCCTACCCCAGAGCCGACTGTTTTCCAAAACATCCGCAGCGCTTCCGGCTTTTCTTCTTCTACTTTTTCTCAGTTGCTACGTGACTGCCAC